CCATGTGGTCACCTCCGGGGCAGGCGGGGATCGAACTCATGTTGAAGTGGCTTTAGCTTCTTAGTGCAGTGCTTTAACCCGCTGCGCCACCAGGGAGGGCCCGTCTCACAAATATTTTAAAGAATATTTACTTATTTATGCATACAGAACTGGGGTACAGGCCAGAGGTGCAGCAGTTAGGGGATTAACCAGAGACAGAGTGGGGAGCAAAACAGGCCAACTGATGAAGTACACTGCTGAGGGGAGCAGTGGGCGGGTCAGGAGAGGTCTGCCACCACAATGTGGGTCACCTCCACGGCTGGGGATATAACTCATGCTGAAGTGGCTTTAGCTTCTTAGTGCTGTGCTTTAACCCACTGAACCACCAGGGAGGGCACTCACTATTTTTGCTTCGGAAAATATGGTAATTTTTTAGGGAAATATTTATATATTAACATATAACAGATTTGTTAATATTATGTTTAAGTAAATTAATTATGTGTTTTAAGTAATTTCTATTTTAATTTCAACTACATTGCATATCATAGATATAATCCACATGAATAAAAACTCTTTGGAAGCCCTAGAAATAATAAGAATGTAAAGGGTTGCTTGTTTTCATATCAAATTATTTGAGGACCTTGGCTATAAACTATAGTTACAGTTCAGTAGTTTTAAAAAACAGAAATTTGTGACTCAAGTTCATAATTTAAACAAATTGTGATTGAAGCAATACAGTGAAAACTTTGATATGTGATATTGGTTTGTGCTTAATAAATATACTTTTTTATAGGTAATTGAAAGAAATAAAGTCATATTGGCTAAAAGGCTTTACCTCAATGAAAAAGGCTGGAATAAATACAGCAAGCATTTGCTTATACTGCTATCAACTAAGGTAAAGACTTAAGTAATTGGAAAAAGACTAAGTATAGAGGGTTGAGATTCTAAGAGGCCTTTGCCAAGTTTATCCTTTTTTAAAAATATAGCTTTATAATATTTATTGTGGATGAAATGAGAAGTGTAAGAAAAAGGTGATTAAAGGCACGTTCTTGTATTTGTCATCTGTCCCAGTTAACTAACCTAAGTAACACTACAATTTTTTACAGCTAGTCTACAGTGCTTAAAGTAAAAAAAAAAAAAGTATAAGTAGCTGTATTCATTGAAATAATTGTCATTTGTTACATTAATTTTGATGTAATTTTATGGGAAAATTCAGTGAGTACACTAATCAGAAAAGGAGATAAGTTGCATTTAACATGTTTCTACTGAGTCAGACAATTTATACTAGTCACTTCGTTTACTTCTTAAAGTAATATGTATAATAATACCTATTAGGATCTTTATTTTATAGATAAGAAAAGCTAATTTCAAAGTAAATAATATCCCCCACAGTTACATAACCATAAGTAGGATTCACATTTGATTCTATTTGGGTTTGAAATTCCTGTTTTCCACTGTTCTTCACTGTCTCCCATGAAATTCCTGTGGGGAAATTGGGCTTATCTTGCCTCTAATAATTTATGTACAATAGAAAATCCACACTTAGCGGGATTTTGTAACAATTTTTTTGATGACATTTTGAAAGATGGATATCTTTTCAATGTTTGATCCATTTTCTAAGCTTGTCTCTAGTATTGCAATATAAATTATGACTTGGTGTATGTCAATAAATATTTGTTACATGAGTGAATATAATTTTTTACTCTGCTTTTTATCTAGGATACTACAGACCTTGCAATGTTGCAGAAGTTGACGCAAAGATGGAAAATCTTGGTGAATAAACTCAAAGAGGAAATACAACAAAATGAAGAGTCTACGAAGCAGGCGCTGCAAGTTGTTAGGGAGAACTTAATCAAATGGCAGCAGTTCTTTGGAAATAAGTGGGTCTCTAAGAATGTTAATTTTTCTCACTGTACAGTTACCGTGTTTGAAAGCGTAGGCTGATTTCCACCCCCCCCCTTTTTTCTGAATCTTACCCTTATAATTTCTTTTAACATTGATTTGGAGGAGGTAACCAGCAACTCTTACAAGTTGCTCAGTCTACTAGAGCCTTAAACAACCTTGGATATCTAGAGCTAAATATATCTGTCATCCATTCTGAATCCTTACTCAAATATTGCTGCTCCCACTTAAATCCAACTTTTTCTTTTCCTTTCTTCTCTTTTTAAAATCACGCCGAGTTTTGTCTTTACATGGACTCAACTGCAAATTTTGTAGTATGCATATGCAGAGAGTTGTAATCAGGGTGTAGAAGTTATAAGATTGACTTTGATTGGCTATCATATTTTGTAATTACAGAAATGTGACAATGAAGAGGCTGCCTATAAAGTAGTTAAAATGTTGGCTGGATAATAAACCACAGTCAGCATTAGTGGGAATCTGTTCTTTGGATGCGGGCTGAACTCAATGACGTCTTCTTCTTCTTCTTTTTTTTTTAAAGATTTATTTTTTTACGCATACACAACTGGGTTACAGGCCAGAGGTGCAGGGGCGGTGAGAGGATTTACCAGAGGCAGAGTGGGGAGCAGAATAGGCTGACTGACAAAGTCAGCTGCTGAGGGGAGCAGCAGGAGAGACAGGAGAGGTCTGCAGTGCCATGTGGGTCACCTCCGGGGCAGGGATCAAACTCGAGCTGAAGTGGCTGAGTTTTGATGTGCTTTAATCCATTGTGCCACCAGGGAGGTCCCTGAACTCAGTGGTTTCTAATGTTGTTGTTGTTGTTGTTTTTTTAACTTTTTTTTTTTTTAAGATTTATTTATTTGTGCATACAGAACTGGGGTACAGGCCAGAGATGCGGAGGGTGAGAGTATTCACCAGAGACAGAGTGGGGTACAGAACAGACAGATCAACAAACTGACAGATCAACACTGCTGAGGGGAGCAGCGGGGGGGTCAGGAGAGGTCTGCCACGCCATGTGGTCACCTCCGGGGCAGGCGGGATTCGAACTCATACAGAGTGGCTTTAGCTTCTCAGTGCTGTGCTTTAACCCGCTGCGCCACCAGGGAGGGCCTCTAATGTTGTTTTTTAAAGTCTTAGGATTTTTTTTTCTGTTGAGGAAACACACTTGGGTGCCATTTCCATTTCAAATTGAATTGAATGATTTCAGTTTTTCATACCCTTTAAGAGGATTCCAGTAAGTAGATCTGGAAGATCTGGGTGTGGAAGCGAGAACATATGCAGGCTGGTTGCTGTTACATGTTTGTTGCCATTAGCTGTGGAGGAAGTGGCAGTGGTTATCTTCAGAAACTTCTTACCAAGAACTTTCGCCTTGTGAGATTTTAGAGAAATTAAAGTTGTCAAAGTTGGGGCTCCCACCCTAAATATTTGAGCCTAAATTATTCATTAAGTTTCCTTATAACTTACATTGTTCTGATGATTATATTCAGCAGGAAGTTTTCTTAGTTCTGAATGTTCTGAACGTCCAAGATCCTTTTAATACTATTTGGCTATGGCCCAGTCATTTGCTTACTCAAGTTTCATTACCATATGGATTTGTATTTGTAAATTTAAAGATAAATACAATGAGAAGACAGTATGGAAGGCATGCTTGAAAACCTTTAAGGAGTAATACAATATCATATGGTAGATATATTAATGATTTTCTTTGTTTATACTTTGCTCTGAAACCCTTTTCTTGCTCTTTTTCCTTTTTTTCAGCGGAAAAGACAATTTACCTCCAAAGAGAAATGTGTTTGAATCAGTTATTTCAGACTTCAAACACTTGTACAAGGTAAGACTTTATAATAAGCAGCTTGGTGACTGAATTACTGGTTTAAACTTGCCCCATTTCAGAGATACGGAAATTGAAGTTTAGAAATGTAAAGTAACTTATTTATATTATCTATTAATGACAAGCAGCTGAATCAGAATTTGAGTTCAAGTCTCTCCAACTCCAAAATCTTACTTTTAATTGCTCTGCTACATTGCTACCCTGTATAGGTTACTCTTTTTTGGGGATCATGTAAGCAGATATATTCTCTCCTTATAGCCAAATAGTAATTAAATATACATAGTTCTCTGGGACTTATTTACCTATCATTAATTTTTTACCCTTATAGGATTTAATATAATGACTTTCTTCTTAGTAAAATATGGATTATTTTGTAGGTTATCAAAATTAATTCACTTTTATTTTTAAAATTAAATATATGTCACATACAGTTTCTTCTCTCCGATTAACAGGATGGAATTTCAAAATAATTTGAGTCATTGGAAAATAAGGATCTGGGTGGATTTTAATGCACTTACTAGTGAATAATGTGCAAATCTCCCCCCCTCCCCACCCGTCCATCTTTTACTCTCCAGATACTGATTGAAGAAAAGGACAGGTACACTGGTGATGGTCTACTGTCAAAATATGATTCTCTCAAGATTATTAAACACTTACAAGAAAACTGGACAGATATTGGGTTTGGAATATTTAGTCGCCATAAAAGTATGGAAGGGGAGCTGCCACCAGAGCATCAGCACATGATTGAAATTCTGAAAAACGTAGGAAAACTCTACAGTGAACTGGAAATAAGAATAAATGGGGATAATGGTAAGAATAAAAATGATAGGTTGCTTGATTGATCGTTTTAATTCAGTCAATAACAGTCAACCAGGGCCCTCCCTGGCAACAGGTTAGGATGCAGCACTTCAAGCTGGCTGCAGCTGCTTTAGTACAAGTTTAATCCTGGGCCCCAGAGCTGACCCACATGGCGCAGCAGACCTCTCCTGTCTTACCCACTGCTCCCCTCAGCAGTGTATTTGATTGATCTGCCTGTTCTGCTCCCCACTCTGTCTCTGGTGAATCCTCTCACCACCCCTGTACTTCTGGCCTGTATCCCTGTTCTGTATGCATGGATAAATAACTTAAAATATAATATTCAACTAAATCAAAATATAGTAAATTGTTTAAAATAAATGAAGTCAAAATGATGAATGATAGTAAAACTAATGGATCATTTGGAATACTCCTAAAAAAGTTAAAGTTTACTGAAAAAGGTAGTGAAAATATTTTTATCAAGGACAAGAAAAAGTTTGGTTTTTTAATTACTTCTTTACTAATTATGAGGTGGAAGCATTTTTATTTCTCAAGATAAAATTTTGAGAGGGCGACTTTTCATGATAGCACAGTGAATCAAATACCAGGATCCAAACTCAGTCAGTCCTCATTAAGGCCTGAACTACAGTCGTGATGAAAACCTGATCAACCACCTGAAAAGTGACTCACAAACTATGTTCTCAGTTCTATTACCTACCCTATAATTAAGAAGAAATTAATCATCATTGTCTTCTTTACAGAATGACTTTGTGAATCACGCCTTTTATAAAAACTAGTTCATAGTTTCTAGGTAATACATTTAATTCTCAGTTGAGGAGAGACAAAATGTAAATTGCTGTCAAAGAAATAGTCCATTGGTTAGAAAAGTATCTGTTTTGACCCTCCCTCGTGGCACACTGGGCTAGGATGCAGCAGGCTAGCCACCGACACTTCAGTACTAATTTGATCCCCATCTCTGGATGTGACCCACATAGCACAGCAGAGCTCTCCTGTCTCACATGCTGCTCCCCTCAGCAGTGTACTTCATTGATTTGCCTGTTCTGCTCCCCACTCTGTCTCTGATGCATCTTCTCACCGCCCCTGCACCTCTTGCCTCTACCCCAGTTCTGTATGCATAAAAAATAAATATTTATTTAAAAAAAAGTACCTGTTTTACAGTGTTTATTCATTAAACATTTAGTTAGGTACTACCTTGCTAGACAAGCTGTAGGACAACAAAAAGATGGAAAATGGTATGCCCGTGCCCATTAGTATTTTATAATTTATTTTTTAAATAGTAGACCTCTAATGCTTCTAAAAGTTAATGCTGGTCTCATTCTTTTAGGTATTTCTAAAATTATTCCAACTTTGCTTAGCTCTCTTGACATGTATTCTTTCAAGTTGGAAAGCACGTTGGAGTTTCCTGAAATGTATCTTGAAGAACAAAAGGGACTTATTGAAAAAATTAATGAAATGATGTCTCAGGTGGATGCATTGCTGAGTCTTATTGCTACTGTCCCGCAGTGCATGGATGAGGAATCTGGCTTGTAAGTTCCCACAGGTCTCTTTCTTGTACAGCTTTACTGTAATGTGTAATTAACATATCACACCAGTCACCCTTTCAAAGTAGAAAGTTAGTGGTTTTCAGTATATTCATAGATATGGGTAACCTTTACCATTGTAAATTTTAGAACAGCTCATCACCTCAAAATGAAGTCTCATATTCTTTAGCTCTTATCCTCCTATCATTCACCCACATAAAACCCCTAACCCTAAGCAAACACTAGCCAATTTTCTATTTCTGTTGATTTTCTTATTCTTGACCTCTCATTTGAAAACAGTCATTATACTATGTGGTCTTTTGTGATTTATTTCTTTCAAGGTTTATCCATGTTATAATACTTTGTTCTTTTTTATGACTAAATAACGTGGCATGTTTGGATATACCATATTATGTCCAATATAGTTATCCTCTGTTGGGACCTTTGGGTTGTTTCTAGCTTTTGAATTTTGTGAATAATGCCACCCAAAACATTCATGTACAAGTATTTTTGTGTGAACACAAAATCCTCTTTTTCTTGGACATAGGAATAGAGTTATTGATCATATGGCAACTCAGACTTTAACAAATTGAGAAATAGATAATGTATTTCCCAAAGTCATTCCTTACCTAGTTGCCCTGGCTAGAACTAGTACAATGTTGAACAGAAGTGGTGGGAGCTGACTTTCTTGTTTTGGTCCTGTTCTGAGGGGTAAAGTACCCAGACTTTCATTGGTAAGTACATTACTAGTGTGGAAGTTTTGTGGAGTCTTATCACAAGGAAGTTTTCTGCTATTCATAGTTGATTGAATTCTTTTATATGAAAATGTGTTGGATTTTATTAAGGGCTTTTTTTTTTTTGCATCTATTGAGATGATGATATGATTTTGGTTTTTGTTCCATTGATGTCTTATGCTAGTTGACTTTTGGATATTAAACCAACTTTGCATTCATTTGCTGATTTTTGTATTATCTGTGTTAACTAATTTCCACTCTGTTCACTATTATTTCCTTCCTTTTGCTTTTTGAGGTTTAATTTGCTCTTTTTTTGTATCTTTAAGGTGGACTTTTAAATTATTGACTTTTGATCACTTTGCCTTTTTAATACAGGCATTTAAAGCTATAAGTTTCCTTCTAAGTACTGCTTTATTTGTGTTCTGTTAGTTCTCAAACAATTGTCAACACATAAATTCATTAAACCTTGTGTTTTAGCTGGTGATTACTGTTACACTATACATATGTCACTTTATTTGATTTGATTTGTCCTTCAGGGTGTGCCCAGAACATATATTTAACAGGATTAAACAATGGATTTTGAAGATAGGCACTGAGATTAACAATGGGAACATTGAACTTCAGCGCCACGTATGTACTTGTAGGGGTTGTAAAGCTATATTTTGCCTTGATTGGGAGTTTTCTTTTTTTCTTTTTTTTTTTTTTTAAGACTTATTTATTTATTTATACACTACTGGAGTATAGGCCAGAGATGCAGAGGGTGAGAGGATTCACCAGAGACAGAGTGGGGAGCAGAATAGGCAGATCGACGGAGTACCCTGCTGAGGGGAGCAGCGGGCGGGTCAGGAGAGGTCTGCTGCGCCATGTGGTCACCTCCGGGGCAGGCGGGGATCGAACTCATGCGGAAGTGGCCTTAAGCTTCTTAGTGCTGTGCTTTAACCCGCTGTGCCACCAGGGAGGGCCGATTGGGAGTTTTCTTTAAGGAAAACCCAGGTTATCCCTTCCAATTGAAGCAGCAGAGTGGAAGGGGAGAATGGGAACTTAACAATTACTGAATAATTTTCAGTGGATTTTTAAAAAGATTTGTTTTTATTTGTTTATGTATACAAGGACTGGAGTGTAGGCTAGAGGTGCAGCGGGGAATGGTGAGAGAATTCACCCTGTCCTGTAGGGAGCAGAACAGGTGGATCCACTGAAATACACTGCTGAGGGGAGCAATGGGCAAGACAGGAGAGGTCTGCTGTGCCATGTGGGTTAATCCCTGGCCTGGGATTGAACACATGCTATAGTAGCTGGCAATGGCTTGTAGCACTGAGACTTTAACCCAACACCACCAGGGGTGCCCCTGTTTTGAGTGCATTTTTAAATGTAGTATGCCTTGCCTCTGGAATAAGTTTTGGAGATAATCAAAATTGTTTGAGTTCTAATTATTATTTATTCTTTACTCGGTATACTGAATCCTGCATTCGACCCTAACAGCATTTATCTGTGGAAATGACAATTTCCATGTAACTTTGAAATTAAGATAACATATATTTTGTTTATTTCAGTTATCACAATATGACCTTACAAGGGAGTGTGCTTAGGGCTCCTTGGTCTGATCGCACTCCACAGCAACACAAGCTGATAGGCCACTGTCCACTTCTCTACCCACTGTAAATCAGAGGGTTGGACTTGAGGTTCCCCAACCTAGGAAAAGCACTCTTGAGACTCTAATCAAGATTGAAAAGAGGATTCCACAGACACCAGTGAGGGCAAGCAAGGAGTTGATATTTATTGACTAGAGAAAAAGCAAGGAAAGAGGACTCTGGGGAGACTTCTTTGGGCGTGAGAGACTTACGCAGGCGCTGGGGTGAGAGTCTCTAAAGATTTTAGGAATGGGCTTTGAGAACATAGGAATTAAGCTTTGTTGGCTAAGAAAGTGAAAGTGGACTTGGCTGCAGTACATTTGTTGTTGCTTACTATTCACCAGTCACTTGCAACTGGGGGTGTGGGAGTTCAGCAGCGGTGGTATGGGGGTTGGGGGAATGTTGTACAAGGCTTGTGTTCTCTGAAGTGAATTATTTCCTGGCAGCTGTGTGGCTCCAATTTGGACTGGTTTGGCCGAAGGTCTCTGACTGTTCTGGGCCTGCAGTTCCCTTTTCTTCCCATAGTAGCCAACTCGATAGGCTATGGAAAGATAGTTCAGAAAGAGTAAAAATAACTAAAGTACGAAACAAAGCAGCCCTTTGTTTGAGTCAAGGAAGTTTTGGCAGCAGGTGCCCAGGCCTATGGTCATCAGGTTTTAATCTCTTGTTTACCAACCCTTGGAACAGCAAAATTGTGTCCTTAAGTCCTGTTCTGTCCTGGTCCCAGGGCCCCTCCTGCTGATTGTTCCTGACCATTCTGGGGTTTGGGCGCTGTCTGATTGGCACCATCATTTGCTCAAACACTCCTTATAAAATTTAGTGCACCTCTGTTTGGTTTTTTAAAAACTTCAACTTTTTACTTTTTAAAGGGTGTGAAAAACCTTTTGTTTTAATTTTATCAAATTTCCATTCATAATGGAATGTGTGTATTTGGACATTGTCCACCTTCTCTAGCTTGCGGTCAGGTAGGACATTGCCAGCCTTATTTCCTGTTCCACCTGGATGTTCACACAGTACTTGTTTTTCCCACACACACATCAATACCAGCTTCTGAAGGGTATGATGTCATCAAATGTAATGTAATACAAAACTATGTCAAGTTCATGGGCTGTATAACAGACGTTGCATATCATTGTTATTTCCCTCAATAACTTAGGATACCATGGCAATCTTGAGAGTTCACTGTGCAGCCCTGGAATGCCTGGGTGTATAATTTGGGAGCTGCAGCTTTTATGACATAATAGCCTCCACTAAGCTAAGGAAGAGGAAGAGAGTAGTTAATGTATAATAAGCAGAAGAAAAATAAGATTACACTAATTGTGTCATGATTGGATTTCATTAAGAGTGATAGTGTTGCTGAGTGTTGGGTACAGGTATGATAGCTTCTGTTCTTAAAATTAGTGTGGCTTTTACTGTTCATTAAAAATGGGTAATTTATAATCATTTTTAACAGGTGGATGAATTGCACATATCTATGATCCAGTGGATGGTAAATTTGCTGATTCTAATGGTGCCTGACTTTGTTGATCACAACACTCTCCCAAAGTTGGAGAAGAAAAGTGCTGAGGAGCATGACGTGGGAGTTGCAAAGTTAGAGGTAGAGGCCATTGCCCTGGCAAAAAAGTTATACCAGTATTCCACTTATTTGAACAGGTAAAACTATCTGCTTATTTTTTTTTTTTTAATTTATTTGTGCATACAAGAACTGGGGTACAGGCCAGTGCAGAGACAGCGAGAAGATTCATCAGAGTCAGAGTGGGAAGCAGAGCAGGCAGATTGACAAGGTACACTGCTGAGGGGAGCAGCGGCGAGACAGGAGAGGTCTTCCAGCCATGTGAGTCACCTCCCTGGCCAGGGATTGAACTGGAGCTGAAACATCTTTGGCTAGCTTTATCGTGCTGTACTTTAACCTGTTGTGCCACCAGGGAGGGCCCCTATCTGCTCATTGGTACACAAAATGTCCCATCAAGCAGAGGCGAGAAGCGCAGTAAATTCACATCAATGAAGAATTGTTGTAAATAAGTAAATGTTTAGAAAGCACTATTAACGATTTACTTTTTTTTTTTTTAAGATTTATTTATTTGTGCATACAGAACTGGGGTATAGGCCAGAGGCTCAGGGGCGGCGAGAGGCTTCACCAGAGACAGAGTGGGGAGCAGAACAGGCAGATCTACGAAGTACACTGCTGAGGGGAGCAGCAGGTGGGTCAGGAGAGGTCTGCCACACTATGTGGTCACCTCCCTGGCAGGCGGGAATCGAACTCATGTGCAAGCGGCTTTAGATTCTCAGTGCTGTGCTTTAACCCGCTGCGCCACCAGGGAGGGCCTAACAATTTACTTTTTAAAGTGGCTGCATCAATCCCCTTTTGGAATAAGAGATTTTGTTGTTCTTCCAGTGGTTTTAGAATGCTTTTGAAAAAATGGTGGCATAGCCACTATGGGAAGTATGTATATATATGAGAGTGAGAATTAGTAAAAAACAAAAAGATCCACTTAGTTGCATAGGTAAGATACATCTTCTACTTTTGCTGTTACTGAGGAGGGGGGTAAAAGGGAGCATTTATAAAGAAATTTATAGTTTCCCATGTAATTTTATATACAAATGAATGTATATTTTTGCATATTTCACCAAGCATCAACCAAAACTTCTCTTTAACTCTCCCCCATTACCAAAATGGAAAAAAATCCTCTATTTGATAAACTAGAAGATTCTCATAAAATAAAGATGAGCCCTGAAAAATTGTACTTTTTAACTAGGAAGCAAACTGTCACTATGATTATTTCCAATTTGGAAATTAGCTTGTACATTCTAGCCAATTTCTCCTTTCATTTCCATCCATTGAGAGGAATGGAGTTTAGGAAGATGATGAAGCTGAGCAACTGAGAAACAGCACATTATTTTTCTTGGCTTAGTGTAATTGTTATGGTAAATTTCCACTGTATCTGGATTTAAAACACCTGGAAGAAGAACCAACAATAAATCATTGTGTTCTTCTCCCCCTAGTTGTTGCAAAGGAATGGTAACAGCTATAGATATGAGTAGAACAGACATCTCATCAAAAATTCCTAATAAGGAACATCATGAACTGAGTAAGATGAAGGTAATGACCCCACCTTCCCCTTTCGTTTTCTGTTCTTGGTTTTTAGCAGACTTTTATGACTAAGTGATTTCCAATAATCTGCACATGTTTATAACTTGTGCAATTTGATAATTTCTAAAATATGTATGTACATGCCTATAAAATAACCACTATGATCAAAATAAAGAACATATCCAAATTACTAAGTTTTGTGGTGTTCCCAGGCAATCTGATCCACTTTCTAACACCAAAGATTATTTTTTATTTTCTATAAGTTATATAAATGAAATCATACAGAATGTGTACTTTCTGTGTGACTTATTTCACTAGCATAATTAATTTGAAATTCACACATATTATTGCATTTATGAAAGGTTTATGCTTTGCAGTGCTGAGTGGTATTTCATTGTATGCATATATCTAATTTATGTTAATGGCTTTTTAATTATTTATCACAAAGCTTCAGTGTATATTCATGTGCCTACATAGATTGCTTTTACTTTTCTTAAGCAAACAGCTTAGTGACTAAGTCATAACTTCTGTTTAACTTCATAAGGAAGGCTACCTTCCAAAATGATTAAACCACTTTATGCTCTTGCCAGCAATGTATGAGGGTTCCAATTGCTTGATATTCTCGTCAACATTTGGTATGGTCAGTCTTTTCAGTTTGAGACATTTAAGTAAGTGGGTAGTGATATGCCATTGTGGTCTTTCTTTGCATTTTCCTAATATCCAGTGATGTTGAATAACTTTTGTGTGCTTATCTGTCGTCCAAGTATCTCCTTTGGTGAAATGTATATTTGAAAGTTGCTAAGAGGATAGATTGTAGACATTTTCATCATAAGAAAAAAATACTGTACCTATGTGGGGAAATGGATGTTAACTAAATTTATTATGTTAATTGTAATATATGTATATATATTACATGTTATACACCTTTTACAATGTAATAAGCCAATTAGATCTCAACAAGATTGGGAAAAATGCAAAGAAAGGAAATTCAACTGTCTTGTTATTTGATTATGGCTAATTTAGATATTTAATAGTTCAAGTGACAGAAAATTAATAGAATATGAAAAAAGTAAAATTATCGGTTCAAATCCTGGCCCATTTATGGTTGGTTAGTTTTCTGATTATTGACTTTGAGAGTTTTGTATATATTCTTGATACAAACCCTTTTAAGGGTGATTTACAAATATTTTCTCCTAATGTGTGGCTTATGGTTTTTTTTTTTTTTAAAGATTTATTTATTTATTCATACAGAACTGGGGTACAGGCCAGAAGCTCAGGGGCAGTGAGAGGCTTCACCAGAGACAGAGTGGGGAGCAGAATAGGCAGATGAATGAAGTACAGTGCTGAGGGGAGCAGCGCGTGGGTCAGGAGAGGTCTGCCGTGCCATGTGGTCACCTCCGGGGCAGGCGGGGATCGAACTCGTGCTGAAGCGGCTTCAGCTTCCCAGTGCTGTGCTTTAACCTGCTGCGCCACCAGGAAGGGCCTGGCTTATGTTCTTTTTTAAACAATTTCTTTCCAAGAGGGAATTGTTTTAATTTTATTGAACTTCAATCTATCATTTTTTTCTCTTGGATCTTGGATCTTGCTTTTGGTGTTATATCTAAATAAATTTTTGCATAATAACTTCTCCCTAGAAGTATTACAGAGCTACTAATGTATAGGGCTATCTAATTTCTTTAATGCATTTATGGAAGTTTCTGTATTTGATATAGGGCTACTATTTCTTCTTAAGTAAACTTAGTAACTTTGATCTTGAAAAGAATTTGTGATTTCATGTAAGTGGTCTAAATTATTGACGTAGAATTGCTTAGAATATTCTTGTGTTATCCTTTTAATAATTATAGGATATCCACTCTTTTCTTCCTGTTATTGAAAATCTGCTTCTTCTTGTCTTTTGTCCTTGGGAGTCTAAAAATTTTTTTACAAATTTGCTTGATCTGAAAGAACTAGCTTTTGATTTCATTGGATTTTTTTCTATTTTCTATTTCTTCAGTTTTTACTCTGGTCTTTTTTTGGTTTTAATTTCCTCTTCTTTTCTTTCTTTCTTTTTTTTTTTTTTTAAAGATTTATTTATTTATGCATACAGAACTGGGGTACAAGCCAGAGGTGCAGGGGTGGTGAGAGGATTCACCAGAGATAGAATAGGGAGCAGAACAGGTTGGCTGACAAAGTACACTGCTAAGGGGAGCAGCAGACAGGTAGGAGAGGTCTGCCATACCCATGTGGGTCACCTCCGAGGCTGGGGATCGAACTCATGCTGAAATGGCTATAGCTTCTTAGTGCTGCGCTTTAACCACCTGCACCATCAGGGAGTGCCCTCCTCTTCCTTTCCTAAGTTTCATAAGGTATAGTGAGACCTGTCAATAAATGGGAGTATGGTAAGAAAGGACAAGCATGCAGGAAAGTTTCTATTTTTCAGTCTGTGTGACATTTAAGTGACAGTTCTCATTAAACTTGACATGTATGCGCCTTCCCTAGTGGCGCAGCAGGTTAAAGTACAGCACTAAGAAGCTAAAGCCACTTTAGCATGAGTTCGATCCCTGCTCCAGAGGTGATCCACATGGCAGCAGACTTGCCCATTGCTCCCCACAGCAGTGTAGTTCGTCAGTCGGCCTGTTCTGCTCTCCACTCTGGTGAATCCTCTCACCGCCTCTGTACCTCTGGCCTATACCTCATCTCTGTATGCATAAATACATAAATCTTTAAAAAAAAAAAAAAACTTGATATGTGTGTTTATGCTCCTCTATATGTATGATAGGTTATAAAAATTTTTATGTGTTTGTGAAAAATAACCAAAGATTTTGCCTGGACTCCTCATACAAATGGTTTTGGATTTTCAGAGAACAGATAATCCCCATGCTATATGAACCATTTAAGAGTACAGTAATAACTGAAAGCTTTCCTTCTTTCAGATAGCTACTCCTTGTCCTACTATGACCTAGATCCCAAGCCCTCTCCATAAGAGATAATATGATTTAGGCTTATGTTCATAAAAAGTTATCTTTGTACAAATTATTTAACTGAATGAATTACAAAGTAATTGAATGGATTTATATTCAGAGGAATTATACTTAGTAGCATCTCCATAGGTGTGCATGAATAAATTGGTATAATCTGGTGTTATCTGCCTTGTAATTGGATTTTTTATCTCTTTCCAGAAAGAATGTTATGAGTGGATAACCATATGTTCACACCTTCTCTCTGGGCTCAAAGGCAGAGAAATAAATTTATTGACATTTGATGAGAAAGAACAGCTATTTGGAGAAGAGGTACTTGCTACATGTTAGCACTGGTTCTTCCTGTATTTCAAAAGATGAGGGTTCCATGACGTTTTCCAACCAGTGTTCTGAATTCTCATTCATTTACTCAAATCAACAGGATTGGCAGCTCCTCTCCCTTCCAAGGGCGAGAACATCCACCCAAACATTTCTTCTCATTTTCTTTTGATTTTGTATTCAAGAGATTTATTTTATTTATGTATGCATACAAGAGCTGGAGTAGAGGTCAGAGGTGCTGGGGTTGGGGAGGTGGGTGAGAGGCTTCACCAGAGACAGAGTGGGAAGCAGAACAGGCAGATCTACTGAAATACACAGCTGAGGGGAGCAGTGGGTGAGACAGGAGAGGTCTACTGCGCCATGTGGGTCACTCCCTGGCCCAGGATTGAACTTGTGCTGCAGTGACAGGCAATAAATTCATAGTGCTGAGGCTTATCCATAGTGCTGCCACTAGGGAGACCCCATCATTTTCTTTTGACTTGATCTACTTCATAAAGGGAAAAATGATTTTCATGATCGGCCACCTCTGAGTTTGACCTTCAGACATCCCTGCCCCTGCATGCCTCCAGTCCCACCCGCTCCTCAGCAGGGTCGGCCTTCCCAGCCAAGGAAATGTCTCCTCTTGAGCATTTCATCACGTGCCCATCGTCCTCCCTCTTTTATATTTTTCCCCTTCTCTCTAATGGTTCCTTGTTGTCCTCTTCTAAGCAATCTGTAAAAACAGTCCTCCCATCATCATAATACTGTCCCTTTCCATTTTTCCTTCTCTTCTTTTTCTTTCTCTTCCCTATCACAGTCACTTCCCTAAAAATCCAAACTATTAAGGCACCAATGATTTCTTATCACTAATTCAAGTAACTCCAGTCTTTATTTAACCTGACTTCTTTATAGCATTTGACCTTTGGGGCACTCACTCCTTGTGACCTCTCCTCATGACCTCTCCTCATGAGAAAAAAAATACCCATTTTTTCCTTCTACTTCTATATATTTTTTCACCATCTTTCATTTTAGTCTTCTCACCCTGTCTGCCACTTAACTGTTATATTCTGTTGTTGGCTGGCTTTCACTTCTCAGTCTACAACCTGCCTATTACCGTGTTAATCCTGTGGTTTTCACTCTCACCTGCTGACTGCGGATCCTAAATCAATGGCTCTTACTGGCAGTCACAGACATTTATTTTTTTTTTAAAGATTTATTTATTTATGCATACAGAACTGGGTGCAGGCCAGAGGTGTAGGGGTGATGAGAGGATTTACCAGAGACAGAGTGGAGAGCAGAACAGGCAGAGCTACTGAAATACACTGCTGAGGGGAGCAGCGGGTGGGTAAGGAGAGGTCTGTCATGCCAAGTGGATCACCCCACCTTGCCAGGGATGGAACTCATGCTGCAGTGGCTGCGATAGCTTCATTGTGCTGTGCCACCAGGGAATGCCCCACAGACAGTTATTTTTACTTCAGTGTCAGGGAGTAAATTCTGAAAAATCTCCCATTGCTAATAGAGCAAACTATAAGCTGATGACATACATATCAATGCTCTTGGGCCTGAAAGAGAAGGTTCTTTCTATCAATTCGTGGGGCTTTTATTTTACACTTAGATAATGAAAAAACACACCACGTTCTAAATGATATAACTTTAACAAGTGCTCATTTTCTTGACTATGCAAATTTTGAATTAATATTCAATGATTTTATCTGCATTATAATTTTGAGATTTTAGTTTAGTTTTAGAAAGTTAATGAGCTCCACAGACTGATCTTGGCTGCACATCAGTCCTAGATGAAAATAAAAGAAGTCTACAGATCAGAGTCAGCGAGACTTAAGAATAGAAAGGATTTGATTTTACTGTATTAATTAATTTTTAAAGGGATGGCATTTATATTTTCTCCAAATGTTGTAGTATCTGGAAGTGGAAGAAATGGTCTTAGCAAATCTGAAGTTTAGCCATTAAAAGTTATTTACAACAGGCCCTCCCTGGTGGCGCAGCGGGTTAAAGCACTGCACAAAGAAGCTTAAAGTCACTTCCGCATGAGTTCAATTCCCGCCTGCCCTGGAGGTGACCACATGGCGTGGCAGACCTCTCCTGGCCCACCTGCTGCTCCCCTCAGCAGTGTACTTCGTCGATCTTCCTGTTCTGCTCCCCACTCTGTCTCTGGTGAATCCTCTCACCCTCCGCATCTCTGGCCTGTACCCCAGTTCTGTATGAATAAATAAATAAATCTTTAAAAAAAAAAAAGTTATTTACAACAATGGGAATAGGAGAAAAGACAAGAAGTTGTTTTACATTACTGACCTGCCACCACAAAGTCTAATACTTGCTTCCCAGTCTAAAAAAGGTCACAGCTGGCTCAGTGATTCATCTTGGAGGTTTGAACTTGAGTTAAGACACTTGTAAAAACATAGACAAGTCATTGTCTTTCCTGGCCCAGGTGCTTCCAGGCATAGCATAAGAGAATAAAAGCTCATTAGGGAAAAAGCTAGAAACTCATAATTTGGCCATATAGGTACCCTAAGTCTGTCTTGGGGACTTGAAGGATAAACAAAACCTACTTGGGAAAGAATTAGGGAAGAAAACCAGCAATCGCCTTCTGTAGGGGTTAGGGACAGGGAAGGAGGTAGGGCTGGGGGCAGGAGCATTTCATGTCATTAACCTAACTTGGAAAATTGCTGGGGCTCATCTTCTACTGGCCTTAGGAGGAAGACCCGATGGATGATGGGAGAACCCACAGGAGGGCAAGAGAGAGAGAGAGAGGAGGTGAGGGAGTAATACCCCCATGTTCTCTGGTCATAGGAAGGGCGCCAAGTCCAGGCAGTGACCCCTCAAAGACAGCAAGATTTGCAGCTTGGCAGTCATTCAGCTGCCCCTACCCGCTACTCCTGCTGCTGCTGGCTGCTAGGAGAGAGGCAGAAGGCTCTGCCACCTGAGGCCTTGCTTCCTCTTCTGTGTCTCCGCCCTTGGAGGCAGTATGATCTCTGCCCTCTGCAGACTCTCCTCTTTTTTTTTTTTTTCCCACTTTCCTGCTGTCTGATGTTTTTTGAGGCAACATTTGGTATTCTTTGCAAATGTTCCTTCCTTTACCAGTCTTAATAGACTAGGTTCCATTCCTAAGACTTTGTCCTGCAGTCACTTACAGGTTCTCCTTTTGTGATGAAATTTATGTTCTTGGCTTTAACTAAATGTACGTAAAACTGTCAGAGCTCTGTCTTTAGCCCACATTCCTCCATCTAAACTCCAGATGCTGGAATCAGCTACTTACTGGACAAATCTGCTTGGCTATCACAGTGGTAATTCAAGCTCACACAGCCTGATCTGAACACCTCTATCTCCCCAAGACTGCTTGTCCAACTTTGCTTATTACTTCTGTCCCTGCATCTGTGGAGGGACATAAACCAATATACCATGTGTCATTCAAGATACTCCCTTCTCCCAACCAACCTTATTGGTTGACTATCCAGAGTTACCTCCTAAATAGCTCTTGAATCCTGATACTCTTCATCTTACAAATATGTTATATATTCTGTTATATATTCCCTGCTCCTGTTGCTGTGGCTTTTGCCTTCACTGTCTTCTTTCTTCTTTCTCCTTCCCCTCCTCTCTCTCTTTTCTCCCCTCCCTTCTTCCTCTTAAATCCACCTTCCTGTTGCTGGAGTAGTTGCTTTAAAATGCAAACCACCTTAACCTCTTTTGTTGCCTCAGTGCTTTTATGATAACATGTAATCTTCCTGGAGTCCCTCTGTGGTCCTCTCCACCTACTCCTGAGTTTCTGTTCTATTGAACTACTTTTGTTCTCAGAGCCAATTCTGCCTAGAACGCCCCCATGCCATTCTTTTTTCCCTGACTCATCTTTCAAGAAACTTAGACATTAATGCCTCCAGGAAACCTTGACCAACCTTCTCTTTCATGACCATCTACCACTAGATCTAGGTTAGATGCTGTGACTGTTTATATTCACAGAACTTATTTGGCCACCAGACTGTAAGCTTCTTAAGGGCAGGTCCCATTCTTATTAGCCATTGTTCATTAAATGTTTTTGAATGACTAAATGCTAATATATATAAAATATTTACCTGCATATTTACATGAAATATTTACTGTATTAAAATTGTTGTATTGTTTTACCTCACAGGACTTTTTAATTGATCCTGAAATTAGCAAGCCTTTTAAATTGGATGAAGAAGAAAGTATAGATAAGGAACTTAAGGAAAAGAGAGAACATGAAATAGAAGAGGTGAGGTTATTCTTTTTTCTCTATATGTCTTTTTAAAAGATTTTATTGATTTATGCATACAGAAATGAGGAACAGGCCAGACAGAGGTGCAGGGATGGTGAGAGGATTCTCTAGAAACAGAGTGAGGAGCAGGACAGGCTGACTGACAAAGTACACTGCTGAGGGAAGCAGTGGGTGAGACAGGAAAGGCCTGCCGCGCCATGTGGGTCACCTCTGCGGAGGGGATTATTGAACTCTCACTGAAGCTGCCAAGACTTGGCTTCGCTTCACAGTGCAGCGCTCCAACCCACTGTGCCTCTCTCTCTATTTTTTTTTAAGATTTATTTATGCGTACAGAACTTGGGTACAGGCCAGAGGTTCAGGGGCAGTGAGAGGATTCACCAGAGACAGAGTGGGGAGCAAAACAGTCAAGACTGTTGAAGTACATTGCTGAGGGGAGCAGTGGGTGGGCCAGGAGAGGTCTTGCCGTGCCATGTGGATCAACTCTGGGCTGGGGATTGAACTCATGCTGAAGTGGCTTTAGCTGTGCTTTAACCTACTGCTCCACCAGGGAGAGCCCACATATTTTTAAAGAATGTGTATATGTACATATACACTGTGGAAAATATAAACAGATCATTTGGAAAATCTCACTTTCCTCATATAGTTTTAATCATAACTGTAGAAATACTTATCTCTTTATTTTTACAGTAAATAATGGGAAATCCAGCCATTTCCCATTAGCTTCATTCCTACCTCTACCCTTCTAAACTAGACAGTGTACCTCTCACCTTGATGCTAATTTCTTTATTCCTTCAATGCCAGATTTTCAAATAGTAATTTAAATTCCCTGTCTCCACTTCTTTAGCTCCTGTTCTGAGCTGTCTTTTCTCCATACCTCCCAAGATCACCTCCATATCTTTCTTTTCCTTACCTATATCTACCACTGCTGTGTCCCTACTAATAATATCTATGTTTCCTGGCACCCTTGTAATCGTTACAATAAAAATAGAATGATAACTACCAGTCATTGAATGCCTTCTCTCAGCTATAGCCTCTGCATATTTTATCTTTCATCTGCACAGCATAACATTGCTCCCATTTTACAGCTAAGAACACAAACCTCAGAAAGGCCGGCTGGCTTACCCAAAGTCACATCTGTAAGTGGAGAAACAGCATTCAAACCCAGACAAGTCTGACATAAGAGCCCTTGCCAATTCCTAGATCGACTGCTACTTTGATTTTTGACATTCAGGAAAATCTAGCATTCTCTACAAGGTTTTCATTTACTTCCCTGTGTTTCTTCCTTGCTGATAGCTTAAATGTTGGCATGATCTTAGGCTTTCACCTCGGACTTTTACTTCCTGCACATGAAGAACAGAACACAAATATTATACATCCCAGGGTCTCATTCTGACTAGCATTTTCTGTTTTATTTTTGCTACAGTGCTTGGCTATAAAAGGCACAAACTAAATGGCAAACATTATTTGGTCATAAATAATGTTTTAGTAATTTAAAAAATTGTATTTGTAATTATTTCCTCCTCTTCTTCTCCTGTGGTCTTAGTTCAGGTTCTTTTCTATCTACTTTACAAACTCCTATTCAGCCTTCAAATATAATTTTCTGTACAAAAACTTTCCTGTGTGTCTCGGCAGAATACAGACCCGTTTTCTGGATACACCAACCCTTAGAATGCAACTCTATGTCACAGCAATCATGTATGCCATAACTATTTTATTGTCTATTTTCCCGACTCTACTGTGAGTTCCTGAGTTCTGGAAGAAAGTCTCTGTCCTGTCTCAACTTCTCTAACCCAACTAGTTTTTCACATAGTGTTTGGGATAAGTCTTCAGAAATGTTTGTTGAGTGATTAAAGTAAATTTGAAATTAAAGCTTCAGACATGGCAGCAAGAGACCTGCCATTTCACTTTCTACCCGGTGCCCGGCCACTTATAGGTCCTGGGTGTTTTTGTGCCCTAGGAACCATCAACATCTGCGAAGCTGGAAAAATTAATCCGATTCATTGGAGATGATGAAAATGTTTATTCCAAACCTCTGTTTGAATCAGATATATTTTCTTCCTGGGTATGTATCTGAAACCCAACTAGTAATTCAAAACCAGAGGAAAAAACTGTGTAAAAATTATGTAGCTCAGACCAACATGTAGGTCCTCCAAGAGAATCAGGGACTTCTAAGTAACATATATTACAAGGTTTTTCCCCTTCCGGCATCATCCCTAGGATAGTCTTTTTTTTTTTTTTTCACGTTAACTTTATATAAGACCTCATTCTTTTCTTTAAAACTCATTTTAAATTAGCATTTCATTTCTTTCCTTAATTTAAATATCTTAGTCATTATTTGACCACCCTAAATATACTCATTCAGCTGACTGTACTAAGTACCACAATGAGATCATGGCTCCAACCACATGAATTACTAGGAAATTAGGAATCTTTACACAGTGGCTGTGGAGAATTCCATAGGAGAACGGATTTAATATTCCTCCACAAAATGTTCTAGGATGTGATAGGCTTAAGTCAGCTCTAAGTACTATCTTGGTGGGTAGATCATGTGCATTTAGGTATACTTCATCCCATTAATCTCCAAAAACGGTGTACATCATTTTGTATGTATGTATTTACAGACTGTGTATTATCTTGGTGGAAGGAGAAGGGAATCTATGGATTTCATCAAATTTCTCAGCCCCAAGGTTAGGGGCTATTCTCATTGTTAGAGGCCTCATCCACCTGCATGGGCAGTGGAGCAAGAAGGGCGAGGAGCGTGGGAAGAGAGGAGTGTGGCAGCAGCCAGCTAGATCACTTGGTCTTGGCAGAGGCGTGGCCTGAAGTAGAGGGAGTTTGTTGGTCTGGGTCTTCAGGGAAGTTGTAGGAAATATGTCCTGCTAGTAGGAAGAACTGGGGGAGACCATGCAGAGTTAGACAGGAGCTGGGAAAATTGGTGAGAGTGGCACCTGGAATTGGGATCCAGTTATATTCTCCCAAAGTAGTACCTTTCAACAAGTTTTTAAAGTCATGTTTAATGCGTCAGTCAAGAGGAAGCAGTGCCAGCAACATCAGGAGACTTGTACAAAAATGATGAAGAGTGTAACACCATTTTCTCTGCTAAACCTCCAGTTCCACCAAAGACGTCCTGCCTCAGAATTGTTCCCCGGTGGTACAATTCTGCTCTGTCATCTAAGTTTGGCATCAGGTTCAGGCCTTGGAGTCAGACAGGAAACAGACAAGAAAGGCAAGAGCCTGTACCCAGGGACAGGGGTGTGGGGGTGTGGGGCATGTCCTCAGGGTGCCCTTCTGTCTGACAGCATGATTATGGGGTGCTGTGGCTAGACCACCTGAGGACAGAGTGGCCAGGAAATCCATCTCCAGACTTCAAAAAGTTGTTTTTGTTGCTGTTACTAGAGGTCACTAAACACCAATCTCTCCAGGTTCTCATTGACCACAAAGTCTAGAAAGTGCTATCTAGGTGTACAATTGTGAGTTCTTGGAGGTAAAAATGAGTTACGTTCATACTACAGATTGGTGGCTGGAGCACTGCCACAGTAAGATGGGATCATCGGGAACCCACACAGTTGTGCTAGCCAGCCACGGCAAGGTGAAGATCTGAGAGAGTGGGTACCCAGAGAATGCGGATGTTTGTGAGGTCAGAGGCTAGGAGCAGGAGGCAGAGCCTGGAGTAGGTCTTCTCTTGGTCTGGATAGCATTGCAGGCCCTGGGAACAGACTGTTTTCCTGCTGGTCATAAGGATACTGGGGCTTCCAAATGGCAATTTTAGGTTTTAAAACTTTGACCCAAGAAGGGGGAGCAGGACAGAAGGAGAAAAAAACTGTATGGTTGAGAAAATAGGAAGAGAGTAAGAGAGTTCAATTAAGTAGACATGTTGAAATATTTCTCTAAGGTTCTTTTAGAAAGAGCTAGCACAGTAGAATGGAATGTGTGACTAGGAGTGAAGAGGTTTGTATAAGAATCTTGCGTTGATCCGCTAGATCATTCTGTGTTTGTGGCCGGCCCCCTATCTTCTTAAATCTCCCTTTCCATCTATAATGAGGGGTCACCTTTTAATTGCCCCTGGTTGGGAATCATAGGCAAATGAGATTTTAAAAAGGCCATAGTTCTAGAAAAGTGACATCAATTCATTTAAAAATGTATTTATAACTTTTGCCTTCTAAATTTCCTCCTTTACCTTCTTCTTACTTTGTTTTCTGGAACCATTAGAGTCAAAATAAATGAAAGGGGTTCCCCTTCCCAAATTTTCCTTGCTTTGATATTTATGAGGTTCCCTAAGGAATTGAAAGATCTTATTGGAGTTTGAAATGTTATAATCTTAGTGAAGTAAATTATTAATAAGCTATTGTTAAGTTCCTTGATCTTTAACTTGATTTATTACTGAAACATGTTTAGCTTCCTCTCTTTAAGGTCTTTTCCTGTTTCTTTTTGTTGTCTTTCATGTTTCTTACTTGAAACGCCAAGTATATGTCTACCTGTAGCATGAATACTTTGAAGCTGGTCAAATCACACGGTCAAATCCTATTCTTTTTTGGTATTAAAAGTATGCTAATCTTCTATTATATAAACATGTATAGGAAAGAATATTCTGGAAGACTCAGTCTAAAATAGCCTGAAAAGATATAGAGCATTAACTGTTGGAATTCTTAGTTCACTCATAATACATGTTCCCTTTGTTAGAGAGAGGCAGCTAATCAAAATACATTGGCTCAAAAGTATCTGGAAGCAATGATTATAATTGAATGCACACAGGAGAAATTAATGTAAGTATGAGGACCCACAACAGTAACAGGTAAAGATTACTGACCTGGAGGTATGGCTGAGAAATCCACACTTGTTGGCTTCCCTTGTGTTCTCCTGCTGCCTTCATTGTCACTAGTGGGCTAGGTATCTCTGTATTTCCTAGAAGCTGTTAGCCACATTGCTATAGTAGGAATACCCACCCTCCCTCACACTGGACATGGAGGAAGTAAAAATGTAAGTAGGGTCTTTATTGCTGCATTATTTACAATTGGAAAGACATGGAAACAGCCCAAATGCACAAAAGTGCATGATTGGATTAAAAAGATGTGCTACATATACACCATGGAATATTACTCAGCAGTCAAAAAAAATGCATGCTTTTTGCAGCAACATGGATGGAGCTGTAAGGGATCCTGCTTAGTGAAATAAGCCAGAAATAAAAGGGAAAAAGCGGACGGTTTCTCTCGTAGCAGGAATATAATGGACCAGGCGAGAAAATAATAATAATAGCAATAATGAACAGCTATATAACAGAGACAATTTATGGGGGTGGAGTGGGGAATGGGATCAAAAACGGTGGGGGGAGGGAAATGCACTGGGCTTTAGTTGGCACATGGGTGATTGGGTGATAGAAAGCCCAAGGGGATTACAACTGAGATGGAAAAATGGACAAAATGATGTAAAAATAAGCTATTATATTATTTTTAAAAAGGGGGGGCCTCCCTCGTGGCACAGTGGGTTAAAGCACAGCACTAAGAAGCTTAAGCCACTTCCACATGAGTTTGATCCCCACCTGCCCCGGAGGAGATCCACATGGCGAGGCAGACCTCTCCTGACCTGCCCGCTGCTCCCCTCAGCAGTGTACTTCGTAGATCTGCCTGCTCTGCTCCCTGCTCTGTCTCTGGTGAATCCTCTCACCCTCTGCATCTCTGGCCTGTACCCCAGTTCTGCACGAATAAGTAAAATCTTTTAAAAAAAGAAGAAGGAAAATTATGGCAGAAATACATTGAGAAGCACAAATAAATGACCAGCAGATAAGAGAGTAAAAATTTAATTAAAAAAAAAATGTATGTGGGCTGGGAGATGAGGTGTTGGAGTTGATCCAACTCAGTATGTTTTTAAGAGATGAACTATAGAAATGAACAGAACTGGGAAAGATGGCTGTGTGCCAGAAGAAATACTATATAACCAAAGAGTATGATGAGCAAAAAAAGAGTTAAGATGGCTTCGAACAGCAGGAGACTTAGATGTATAACATACTCTCTAGTAATTTAGGAGCACCTCTCAAAACTGATCTTCTTGATTGTAAACTCTGGTTTAAAAGTTGTCAAAAAGGACACTATTGGGCTTAGCATCTTGGATCACATCAATTAAGAGGAGTCAAAGGAACCCCTGAAAAGAGGTTCCCCTGGCTATTGATGAGGTACAAATAGCCAACAATCAGATTTCACTAATTCATAGCACGACTGACTCTCACAGCCGGATCAGTCCCCAGGCCTCAATTCTTGGTTAGTCATTGGTGCTGATGCTTTCCCTGTTTGTACCCTTCAGGCACATTCATCTGATCCCACTGACTTTTTTTTTTTTTCTTTTAAGATTGATTTATTTATTTTTACAGAACTGGGGTATAGGCCAGAGGTGTGGTGGGTGAGAGGATTCACCAGAGACATAGTGGGGAGCAGGACAGGCAGATCGATGAAGTACACTGCTGCGGGGTGCAGTGGGCAGGTCAGGAGAGGTCTGCCGCGCCATGTGGGTCACCTCTGGGGCAGGGATTGAACTTATGCTGCAGTGGCTCCGGAGAGCTTCATAACGCGGTGTTTTAACCCGTTGCACCACCAGGGAAAGCCTGATCCCATTGACTTTTATGGACCATGAGTTTCTATGTATGAAGGGTATTTTTTTGAAATTTTCTCTTTTGTTGTTTCTCTGGACTTTGCCCATATTAGGCAAGTTGAAAGTAGAGCCAGACAAGCAGAGGAGAAATTTGATGATATAAATGAGAAATTCCATTACACCCTTATTAAAAAAAAAAATCTGGAGAAAGAACTAGAAGAACTTATGAAGTCCAACGAGAAGGCTGAAGAAATACAAGAAAATGGAGCAGAGAGAGAAGAAGAAAGTGAAGAAGAAGAAGAAAAAGAAGAAGAAGAAATCAAGCCAGTACAACAAAATTCCTCAAGATCTCTAAAGAAAGGTGAAACTTGCTTTCTCATATTGCTTTAAGTTGCATTTATAAAAAAAATTGACTGGGTGACAGGTATCTTAGGAGAGTATCAGTATCCTTTGTGCAAATCTAGTTCATATTTCACATAGGAAAGCACATACATTTACTGTGATATTATATCTTGCAAACAGGAAAACCAAATGACAACTGTTGACTGGTAAACTAATATGAGATACAACTTTGAGTTATTAGACTGGCAAAAAACTGTTAAAACAATAGAAGATGATGCTGGTCAGGATAAAGTAGTCAGTTTTACAGATAATGTTTGTGGGTCGATGGGCTTTATGTAACCCTTTCAGAAGTGTGTTTAGATCTTAAAAACATGTATATCCTTGAACCTAATTACTTCAATCTTAGGCATATACTATAAGGAAAAATAATAAATACAGGGGGAAAATGAGTGCACAAACATTCAGTATGTTATTATACATATTAGGAAAAATAGAAATAGCCTATCCCTCCAATTAGGGGGGAAAAAGTAAATTAATTCTGCTATATTAATAAAGCTGAGTACTATGTAACCTTAACATGGTGGTTACAAGTAATTTGTAGTGACATGAGAAATGCTTATGTTAAAGTGTCAAATGCAAGAAACAGGATCTGATGCAGCATTTTAAAGCCAGGAAACAGATCTGAAAGAAATGTACCCAGATATCATCAGACATTGTCCCTGGTGGATGGAGGTTTATGGGGAGTGTTGTCTTTGTTTTTTTTATACTCTTGCATGTTCTATGATGATAATAATTTATCTACAGGAAAGGAATTTAACGCTTCATTCTCTTACCTTTAATTAGTGTTAGAATTTGTCCTCATGTACTTCTCAATATCCCCAACATTGGGAGCTTTCAAAAAATTTTTTTGCTTTATCTTCAATCCTTGGTTGTTTCTCAGGACAACTCTGGTAGAAGGGGTAGAACTGGGAAGATAACTACTTTCTGTTTTCCTTTCTCACCTTCTCTTTTCACTTGTACCCCTAGCAAAAGCAGTAAGCTAGCCAGTCCCTCACAGTTTCTGGCCCCAGGTGTCAATACTGCTTAGAGGAAGAATCTGAGCCCCTTTCCTCTGCTTTTGCTAATTCGTAACTGGTAAAATATTAGTTATTATGAATCATTTAGTTTTAGGTTTGAATATATGTGAAATAGTTTTCATGAATCAAAAAAAAATCATTCAGTTTGTGTTACAATTGTATCTTGATAATTTGAAAACTAATTTTTCCAGATTATAGAGTAAGTATGCAAGTCATACCAAGGGCTTTTGTGTTAAACTGAGAGATTACTTCAATATGGAATGAGTAGTTTTGTCCATTTCCATGAATAAAAATTGTTCATTTAGATAAAGCTAGATTATATATATCTATAAATAGATGTATTCATGTATATAGTTATTTTCCAACCCCAAACCTGTCCAAACGCATAGACATCCTTTCCCATCCTTGCACGCACCCCCATCAGAGTCATAGACAGGGGTGGGGTGCAAAGTGATAAATGAGAGGAGAGGCTAGGGGAATTGACTGCAACCAAGGTAGCTCCCATGCCATGCAGGTGACTTAAACATTTTCTCTGGAAAATCCTAGTTAGACATTCCTTAGGGTTAGCTGGCACTCCTTTAAAAAATACAGACAGGCCCTCCCTGGTGGCGCAGCAGGTTAAAGCACAGCACTGAGAATCTAAAGCCGCTTCCCCATGAGTTCGATCCCCGCCTGCCCCGGAGGTGACCACATGGCGTGGCAGACCTCTCCTGGCCCGCCCGCTGCTCCCCTCAGCAGTGTGCTTCATCGACCTGCCTGTTCTGCTCCCCACTCTGTCTCTAGTGAATCCTCTCACCCTCCGCACCTCTGGCCTGTACCCCAGTTCCGAATAAATAAATAAATCTTAAAAAAAAAAATACAGACAGCCTTGGCGCTGTTTGCCTCTCAGAGGGTATATATAGTACATCTCTGTTTGAAACATTGCAATGAGATGACGCTTCTCTTGAGAGCCATGTGGTAAAGGGCTGGAAAATAATGTCCATTATAGGAAGGAGCCTTGTGATTACTGAGTAAAGTTCTGGACATAGTAGAGAGACTTTCAATATTTTTAATAATTATTGTGTTCTGAACTGAATGAAGAAAAGAATCAAGCAGGGAGTCTGTGTAGTGTCTCATCTCAGTGGGACCAATGGTGAGGCGTGAGGAGATAGTTCACAGGAGGGGTGGGGCTTAGATGGATCTGTTCACAGGAGACTGGCGACGGGAACCTGGAGACAGAACAAGCTGTAAGGGTGGCTATGAGATGGTTCTGGAGACTAGTTTTATTGATTTTTTTTCCACTCAGCTTGAATGTGTACAAGAAGGAAGGACGTGTCTTCTTCCTTTTTTCTCTTTTAGACCACATAGCTCACTTTTCCAAGATGCAGAATTCAGGCAGTTAATCGCATACACTTAAACTTTGGGAAAGTGCATTCTGCACCTCAATTTCCTCATACCTTAGAGGCACAAGCTTGTTTGGAGCTTAGAGATTACTCAGGCAGAACAAGAATTTTTTATTGCTCTATAAAATAAAAAATTATTAATAAATAGGTAGTTGTTACCAATGCTATTGTTTTTGTCTTTTCAGAAACACATCGAAAGGAGGGAGGTCCTTCCAGCAGTAAATCCAAAACTGGGACTAAACCCAATCACAACATAAAACCCAAATAGCATCCATATGGTGTCTTTGCTATAGAGTGGACAACACAGATCAACTGGCGACACTTCCTTTGCAGCAACAACTAGAAAAACTATGACATGCAACCCAAGAACACCTTTCCTTTTAAAGTCAAAGTGATGGCTATAGATTACCCATTCTTTAGCTTTTTCTCCCAGATTAAAGATAGCTTGTCCAAAAAATTGCTAGCTTCTTCCATTGATTTCTTTATTTTCTTCAATAGACCCTTAACAGAGCTGCAACGGTTACAGCTCACATATTTGGTGTTCCTCTGGATTATCTCCTGAAATTTTAGATTTTTGCCTGCTACTTAAGCTGCAGAGACACCCCTGATTCCAGAGCCAAACCTCTGTCCGGGCCTGTCCCTGGCCATCAGCAAAATGTATGTAGATGGATTTAAAAAACCTACCTAAGCTAATGTATGACACTTTAACTCTGGAGAAAGCATGAAATTCTTTAAATAGTTGGCTGTACTCATGGTCTGTCAGCCCAAGTGGAAACTGTTGACTCAAGCATAGAGTTACCACCTAGCAGGGCCTAGCCAGCCCTACCTTTTGTCTTTCCAAAGAGAGTCTTAGATGATTCTAGCAAATTCAGGGGCTTTTTGGTGGAATTTCAGAATAATTCCTGCTTTGCAGGAATGAGTGGTCATTTCCAACAAATGAGCAGACCCCAATCCCTGACCATAAGAACCCTACTTCTCAAATTGTGTCAATATCACTTTAGCTCTGTGGGGCAGAGGGAACATTTTCTAAATGTCAGAATTATGCCTGCTACCACTAGAAGTGGAATGAGATATTTGCCACCACAGTGCTATCCAGTGTTTTATAGGTGATGGTCTGGTTGCCAGACAGAAACTCACCCTTGCAAACACAGAAGGGTAATTTATTAAAAGCATGTTGGGGCGTACTATGCTTTTTTTTTTTTTTAATTATTCTTTGGGCCCTCCCTGGTGGCCCAGCGGGTTAGGATGCAGCACTGCAAGCTGGCCGCAGATGCTCCAGTGTGAATTCAATCCCCGCCCCCAGAGGTGACTCACATGGCCAGGCAGACCTCTCCTGACCCACCCGCTGCTCTCCCCAGCAATGTACTTCCACAATCTGCCTGTTCTGCTCCCCACTCTGTCTCTGGTAAAGCCTCTCACCATCCCTGCACCTCTGGCCTGTACCCCAGTCCTATATGCATAAATAAATAAGCCTTAAAAAAAAAACAAAAACAACACCATCTTTAAAAAAAAAAAAGGATTATTTATTTATTTATTTATGCATGCAGAACTGGGCTACAGGCCACAGATGCAGGGGCAGTGAGAGGATTCACCAGAGACAGATTGGGGAGCAGAACAGACATACTGACGAAGTGAACTACTGAGGGGAGCATCTGGTGAGAAAAGAGAGGTCTGCCACACCATGTGGATCACCTCCCTTGCTAGGGATAGAACTCGTGAAGCAGCTGTGGCTAGCTTCGTAGTGCTGCCCTCCAACTCACCAAGAAGGACCTGGCAGGTTTTTATAAATAAATGCAGATGTATTTGTTTTGGTCAAGATATATTGATACTGAGACTCAGGACCCGGGATTGTTTTAAAAGTTGCAAAAGGAAAGAAACAGTAATACCTTTATGCATTCTCAGAAAGCATTTCTAAAATAATAAGTGGAGTTGGCTCTTGCTGAATTGAGAAATGGCCACAAAAGTCAGATCTAGGACTTTTCCAGAATGTTAAAAACAGAGGGTATATACAGACGAGAAAGTGTGTGAAATTGCTAGAGAAAAAGCACTGACCGTAGAAATAACCAATAATTTCAAGAAAAGTTCTTTCTAGTCCTGAGTCAGTCCCTCAGGAATTACAGCTCATTAAAATCCAGGCAGAACCCCAAATGGATGCCATGCAAAGACATTGACCTTCCCAAATACATTTCTGTGTTTAAAAGTTTTAAGTGATGATCAGATAATGAGACTAGCCCAAAAAACCTTTACAGAAATTGGAATCTCACTACAATGTTCAAAAGCCAGCTGTCATAATGTAGGGCATATAGAAAACAATTAGTCTGGCAAAAGTCGAAATGCCACATGAAAAAATGTTCAGCATCACTTACTAGAGAAACGCACCTCAAGGCCACAATGAGACCCCCCTCACCCCGTGTGTGCTGGTGATGACACAGCAATGTATTATCAGCAATGTGACCCATGTTACACAGTCTTCTCCGTGGGACATCTGCCAGTTCTCCAGGAGCAGAAATTGCTTTTGAGCTGAAGTGGCTTATGTTGGGCTGAGAGAAAAGAGGTTGGGGCTCAGTCACACATAGAAAAGGAGAAATCTTCCACGTGGGACGTAGTAAGGTATGGAAAAAATGGGAAAGTTTCAATTTGTGACTTAGAACTTGACTGGGCTGTGGAAGTAAAGAAGACTAGACGGGCTACTGTTTCAGAGGGAGCAGAGCCATTTCCTCATCTGCAAAGCAAAGGTGAAAAACTCTTCTTGTTTGGTCCTCAGGAGGAGGTAGAGGTCCCCCCCACCCCAACCCCCGTTCAGCACAGAACAGTACTTGACCTTGTGGTCAAGTAACTTCTTCCCACGTGTGAGTAGGGATTTTGAATGGTGTGTCCTGGGAATTTATGTGGCGTCTGGGTCTCACGGTGCCCTCCTTCTGTCAGCTCTGCCTGCCAATCCCTAGTGAAGGATGTCGGAGGGAGAAGTTGGCGTCTAGTAGTGGACTATGTAACCATGGATAGTACGGACTTCCCTTTCTTTGGAAATGAGAACATTATTGTTTATGGAGGATACACAGGTTCTCTCTCTCTCTCTTTGTCATTTCCATGACCTGGATCTTCTTCCCTGACCAGTTCATGGCCGTAGTTCTTATTTCCAGTGTCCTTCCCAGCTTTCTTCTTTCTGTGGTCAGGGACTGGGGGACCAGCATATTCACTGATTTGATGCATCTCACAAGGCTGTGTATTAAGAAGGCAAGTAAACAAGTACTTTCTCACCAGGATGTAGCTTTCTGTGGAAATATAGTTCACGCATTAGCCTAGTCTGGGTGGGAATATACATATTACCTGGGTACACATGCCTGGGTACAGGCATGTAGAGAGCACAGGCACCAGAGATGAGTTAGAAAGCAGAAGTTCCAGTGCAGTTAAGGAAGCAGATGAGTGCATGGCTGATTTTAATCCTGTGGTGCAGGTGATGGCTTGAGGGGGAATGCAGACAAGAATGGAGAACTCCCAACGGCGGCAGCACTTCTATAAGGTGAGTCTGGGAAAAGATCAAAACATGTTTAAAGTTTCCACTACATCTGAAATTTATTAAAATTTTCATAGCCCAACGAAGGGATCATGCTTAGTGAAATAAACCAGAAAGAAAAAGAAAAATACCAGATGGGTTCACTCAAAGCAGGAGCATAAACTGCCGGGGGGTGGGGGGTGGGAATAATAATAATGAACAACTATATACCAGAGACATTTTATGGGATGGAGTGGGGAATGGGATAAAAAATGTGTGTGTGGCCCTCCCTGGTGGAGCAGCGGGTTAAAGCACAGCGCTGAGAAGCTAAAGCCACTTCCAAGTGAGTTCGAGGTGACCACATGGTGCGGCAGACCTCTCCTGACCCGCCCACTGCTCCCCTCAGCAGTGTACTTCATAGATCTGCCTGTTCTGCTCCCCACTCTGTCTCTCGTGAGGCCTCTCCCCGCACCTGAGCCTCTGGCCTGTACCCCAGTTCTGTATGCACAAATACATAAAACTTTAAAAAAAAAAAATGTGTGGGGGTGGGGCGTGCACTGGACTACGGTGACGGCACATGGGTGATTTGGTGATGGGAAGCCCACGAGGATTACAGCTGGATGGAAAAAAGAATAAAATGTTGTAAAAATAAACTATTAGGATAAAAAAAATTTTCATAGCCCAAAAACTAATAACCAAGAAATTTCAAAGTTTCAGATCATTGGAAAGCAACAACTTAAAAATAATTTTTTTCTTGACTGAGAAAACTTCCTAATCCCCTAATGTGTCAGCACAATTTGGCTTTCTGTATAGCCACAGTTTGCACAGCTGCTAATTGCCTTCATTACACTTCACATTTCCTCAAGCTTTAATCAGTCTTTATGTGTTTTTATTTGGTTGTTACTTTGTTTTCAGTTTCTTTTTCTTTTTTTCATGTTTCCGTTCCCTAGGATGAAGCCCTTTGGGTAGGGACATTTTGCTATGTGCCATGTACTTCCCAGAATCAAAACAAGGTCAGGAACATTTTGGTCAATGAGTGAATGCATAGGTGAGCAAACATACAGACTTAGATTCATCATGTTCTCAATGGAACATTTGTCCATTTGCAATTTCTACACAAGTATGGGACACGCTTTCCAGAGTTTCCTAGAAATGGTGTGAACTTAACTCCATGAACATACAACCATGCTACAGATGGACGTTCAATGCTGTCCTGACCTTATGAAAACTGCACTCCACTCCCTTACCTTAAATCACCCAGGTATGAGGTCAGCACCTATGCCTTTAAGAGCTTTTGGCAAAAGCTACCGAGGAAGTGGATTCAACACTGAAAATACCCCAGGCCAGACGTAACAAAGAAAGCCTTTCCACTTGTTCTTGAGGGAGCCTACAGACAGGTTGAACCCCACGATTATAATTATTTGACAGTGAGGGCCGTTTTCTGTGCTCTCTGGTACTAGGTTTATGCAGTACTGGACCACTATCCAGTATAGGGTCGCTGTCCTTGTACTTCCTGCCGATCCAGGGATGTCATCTTGCAGGCGGGCAGTTTTAAACATGACAACCTTCTCTTACTTCAAAGCAGAAACTTCTCTCTTCACCAAGGTTTTTGTGGTTTGAAGAGATGTAATTATTATTTGAAAAAATAAGATTGGTTATTTATGGGACTGGTGGATAGCATTCATTTACTTACTTATCTTTAAAGCATAGTTCATTGAACATTAGCCTAAGATACAGGGGTAAATCACAATAGACGTGTTTGCCTTCTGACTCTGTCATTATGTCTCATTGTTAGCACATTCATTGTTAGTGTATTTAAAACTAAGCGGTCATGTTCGAGATGGTGAAAAAGAGGTGAAAGGCTGTGAATTTTATATTCGACCCAAATATTTTGCTGAGTAAGCACAATTACCTGTTGCTTAGCATATGTAAAGTTGCAGTGTATATGAGACTGTCCTTACATATTAAAATCGTGTAAATTCACTAATCAATTCTGCTTTATTCAACTGTCAAAAAATAAGATTTCTTTGTTTGCCTGGTCCTGTCCAGACATCCCAGACGAGAGCTGGTTTGATGACGCGGAACCCCACAGCGCCACCTGCCGAGTGACGTGGCTTTGAGAGCGCAGTAACTCCAGAATGGCCAGCAGGGGGCGCGAGATCACCATCAATAGGGGCAGCCATTTTCCTCCTGTGTAGTAACTGTCTTCAGAGACCGGCACTTTCTCACTAACTGAAGCCTCCTTAGCCCTGGAGGCACCAGCTTGCCAGGCCCAAGGATTTAAATCTGCGCCCACAGTAAGAAGCTAAACTCCGTTTCCAGCAGGCTTAGAAGCCTCAGTGATATGCGGTGGAGGCTCGGTCCTGAGTGAGACGTTTTCTTATGGGACCCAGCGCTGAGGAGGGAGCTCTGTGTGGCCTCTTGGGGAAATTAGTAGCGTGTCCAAGATTAGTGAGTGGCAGTCTCGATGAAGTCTGGCAAGTTTGATATCAGCTGGTTATGGCTTCATTTCCCAAGAAGCACAATTGACTTCAATCTGTCATTCTAGCAGTCAGCTAGTTCTGTGATCTGATAAATAATCAGTTGTTTGGGGAATCAATATTTATTGACTTGTACTGCTGTCAATAAAGCAGTCTTTACCATGACAATAAAATAAGAGACCCCAGAGAACTTCCTTCCACTTCACACCAGGTGGGGATACGCAGAGGGGACAGTGGGAGACATCTGTCTATGAACCAGAATTGATTCCTCACCAGATGTTAATTCTGGTGGTATCTAGAATTTTTCTAGCCTCTAGACCTGAGAGCAATAAATTTCTATTGTTGATAAACCACTCTATTGGGTTTTGTTAGGATAGCTCAAACTATCACTATTAAAATCAGTTTGCAGGGAAAAATTCTTTCCTGCTACATAGCTTTGATCGTGCTGTCCAGCATATCTTCTACCTATTATTTCAAGATCAGTATCTGGGGGAATGTAGCACCTGGGTTTCAGGGAATTCTGGTGCTGAAACCTTGCAGTCAGCACTATCAGAGGCTCCCCTAGCTAGCTCTGAAGAATTGGCCTGACTATTCACTATACCCTTCCACCCATAACATAATTTCAGGGCACCTTATTCCCATCATTTCTCTCCCACCAAGATTCTGCATCCGAATTGTCCCATAACCCAAGGGCAACACAGGGCACTCAAACAGACCTAGAAGATGCCCTCTGGCATTCTAATGAGAAAGTGTTATGTTGACTAGAGCCAGATATCAGAAGAGACCACCAGAAAGAGCTACATAGGCAGATAAGAACGCAGCGATGTGGAATTGTTAAGGGCTGTACAAGCCATTCCTACTTTATCATCCTGGCATTCACTCCTAATTGTTCGGTTCCTGGTTTGCTATACCTGCACCAGCAGGGCCCTACCACCCCTCCATTTCTCCTGCCAATGTATGCCTGAGATACGGGGTGAAAAGTGACCAAAAAGCCTTAACCCCAAAAACCAGTGTGTTGGGATGGCGGTCAGGAGAAATGCTCCCCACTTCAGGTACGCCCTAGGTGGCACTGATCTTTTACTGGAACATCTGTGACCGTGTCCTAACTGGTGCACAACAGCAACCCCAATAGATTAGACATTCTAGGCTATCCCTCAGGAGTTTTCCCCCTCAATGCTCATGCTATCTCTTGTTGCCTCATCAGTGTTTGTTTTCCACTCTGGCACCAACCTCCTGGTTCTGGAAGATTTTGTTACCCACCTTTGACTTACTTGGGTTTGACAATCTTCTGGATTCCACATTTTGTATTTTGTGTATGGTTAGAGCTTTACCTGCTCTTTTGCTTCAGAATCTCCCATTGTCTCCAGCAGAGACCACTTTTCTGTGACTCCCCACAAACACATATCCCCCTTGAAGGTAGGAACAGAGGTGGGGGGGGCGGAATATTTTTCTTTAAGACATGAAAACATATTTTCTAGGATGAGGTGAACTAGACTTTTGAAACAAAATTCAGAGTTATCTCAAAACATGGTGGCATTATAAATACATTGCTGTCACTATAAATTTGACATGGTTGTTGGAGTATATAGATGATGAAATTGTCTAATGTCTTATATAATCTGGGAAAGACACTTTGTCCGCTAAGGCCCTAGGGCCAGGTTGGAAGGTGTGGTTCCCCCAACTGTGAATGGAGGTGAGGAGGCAGCCTAGAGTCATACACCAGAGACAACACCCTAAGACTATCAGCATGGTATGTTATAGTACACTGCTGGAGAACTTTTGTTCTTTTTTTTTTTCAGAGGGCAAAAGGATGGCAGAAAAGGAAGGAACATGGAAGTGATTGAGAGAGGGCAGGACAGGCAAGCATCCTGATCTTGGACCCAGTTCCTATTACTTAAATATACAGAAACTTTTTGTTTCAAAACAGACAAAATACTATAAAAATTTCTAGATCCACTTCCAGGGGCTCAGAAAATATATTTTCTCTCTAAAATAATACTCAGCAAGGTATTAAGGGAGAACCTTCATAAAGAAAAATCCCATCTGGATATTTTCATGGAAAATGAAATCTACAGTATAAGATAGCATGGGTATATCTCCAACATAAAATAACAGCATCAGGTAACATGAGTGAAGATTGAGGAGGAAGTTTGAAGGACAGAAGTCACCAACTAGTGAGGGATTGGGGATGACTGTCATCATGTCTCTCTGACCCAGGTACATGGACAGTTCTATTTTAAGTAGAATTTCATTCATAGGATAATTTTAGTCATAATTTTCTAGTATCAGCAATGTGTGTGTGTGTGTGTGTGTGTGTGGAGTGTAGACCAGAGGTGTGGGGGTTATAGAATTCAGCAGCAACAAAATGGAGAGCAGAATATGTGTATTTATTGCACTATCCTGCTAAGGGGAGCAGCAGGTAAGACAAGAGAGGTCTGCTGCACTATATGTGGGTTAGTTCCGCGGCCGGGATCTAACTCAGGCCATCCTGGTGATTGCACTGAAATTTTACCACTGGGCCACCAGGGAGGCCCCAATATTATTGAAGATTTGGTATATACCTCAATGCACTCTCTTATTTACTTGGCTGACTTTTTCCCTGAAGATACGGTTTTTTTATATTTTTGAGTAAAACCCAGGTGCAGGCCAGAGGTACTAGGAGGGAGGTGGTGAGAAGATTTGCCAGAAACAGAGTAGGGAACACAATAGGCAGATTTTACTGAAACACACTGCTTGGGGAGCAGCAGGCAGGAGAGGTCTTCTGCGCCACGTGGGTCACCTCCCTGGCCCTGACTGAACTCAGACTACTGTGGTGATAATGCTGAGACTTAAACCTTAAGCCACCAGTGAGGCCCTGGGTTTATTTTTATTGTATAATGTGAATTAATTGAAAATAACACTTACAGGAATGTATTCCTATTAGGTAACATCTGTGCAAGAAAAGCACAGTTCAAGGCATGCGGAGATCACAACATGTTATTACTGGCACATTTGATACTGGAAATGTATCAGTTTAATATTTACAGTGATTCTTTCTCACACCTTAGCAATATTTATTGGATAAATTTTTTATATTTTTTGTTATTTCTCTATATTAAAAAAGTGCATTTGGCCCTCCCTGGTGGTGCAACCGGTTAGGACGCAGCACTGCAAGCTAACACAGCCACTTCAATGCGAATTCAATCCCCGGCCCCGGGAGGTGACCCACATGGCGCAGCAGACCTCTCCTGACCCGCCACCCGCTACTCCCCTCAGTGGTGTATTTCATCAGTCGGCCTGTTCTGCTTCCCACTCTGTCTCTGGTGAATCCTCTCACTGCCCCTTCACCTCTGGCTTGCACCCCAGTTCTATATGCATAAATAGAATAAACTTTAAAAAAAAAAAGTGCATTGAGAAGTCCTTTAATTAGGTGTAAATTTTATATCCAGTCCAAGCACATCTCTTTTTCTTTCATTCACTCAAGAACATTTAAATATCACTGTGGTGCCACATCAGGGTAGAGGAATATGGGGTGGGGTGTGCAAGAATGAGTATAAAGCAAGGAAAAGACTGAGAGGTGCTTTGAGGAGATAATATAGTTGGGGAGAAGCCTGCTTGCTAACTCTAGGACTATAGTAGCTCATGATAAGCAAGTAGAAAGGTATGTGGGAGCAGCAGAGCTTGCCAAAGGGGCCAAAGGACAGTCATCCAGAAGGACACTGGACTTTAGCCAGATAGAGACTCAAAATTCTTTCCAAAGCAGAATGCTGGCTAAGCTCTGTCCATAATTAATGCCATAGAAGGTCCATCTCGACTTCTCTGTCATCTCCTCTCACTGTCTTCTTATGTAGTTTGCTGCACCGTGACTTCGGGATTCCATATGGCAATAAAGACAGGGCAGGCGATAGGGGAGAGTGCTGTTTGTGGCTAAGGGGTGTAGCGGTTTTGTGGCTCCTTTCCAGGCTCATTGTCCTCAGCTCTACCTATAACATGGGGGAGTCTTTCTTTTTCGGATTCAGTGGCTCAACAGGTCTGGGAGGGTGGGGTAAGGGGATGCTGCCTTGTGTTCTGTTGCTGGGAGAAGACAGGACATTTAGTAAGTCAAACGGCAAAGGTAAAACCACAGTGGAAGGTCTGTCTGTGGATAAAGCTTGCAGGGTGTGGAGATATCGAAGCTGAACAGCAGCCGGGGTGCCTGACAGAATCTCGGCAGCCATCCTCAGGGACTCGGAGGCGGCCTTTTCCCCTTCTGCAGCAATCATCTAGAGAGCAGATATAAAGAAGAGCACAGTGATTGTTCTTTGTTCCACAAACAATTACCCAGTGTGATGCAACACTCAAGCACAGTGGGACAGGCGCTGCTGAGGGCAGAGCGCACTGTCTTCTTTCTCAAGGTCAAGATCTAGGGAAACATACTATTCACTAAAATTTAGGGCAGGGGCCCTTCCTGGTGGCGCAGCTGGTTAGGACGCAGCACTGCAAGCTAGCCGTAGCCACTTCAGTGCAGAGTTCGATCTCCAGCTCTAGAGCTGATCCACATAGTGTGGTAGCCCTTTCCTGACCTGCTTGCTGCTCCCCTCAGCAGTGTACTTCGTCAGTTGGCCTGTTCTGCTCCCCACTCTGTCTCTGGTGAAGCCTCTCACTGCCCCTGCACCTCTGGCCTGTACCCCAGTCCCTTATGCATAAATCTTTAAAAAAAAAAATTAGGACAGAATTTGAGACACCTGACAGGTCTAGTGAAGGATTAAGGGCATTTTTTTTTAAAGATTTATTTATTTGTGCATATAGAACTGGGGTGCAGGCCAGAGGCTTAGGGGCGGTGAGAGGCTTCACCAGAGACAGAGCAGGGAGCAGAACAGGCAGATCGACGAAGTACACTGCTGAGGGGAGCAGCGGACGGGTCAGGAGAGGTCTGCCACGCCATGTGGTCACCTCCGGGGCAGGCAGGGATCGAACTCATGCAGCTTTTTAGATTCTCAGTGCTGTGCTTTAACCCGCTGCGCCACCAGGGAGGGCTGGATGAAGGGCATTATTAATATTGTTTATCAGGCCTTGAAACATTCTGAATATCATCTTATAAAGAAGAGTAGTCAGTGTTCCATGCAAAGACATAGAAGCCTGAATGGTGACTCCCCAAAGGGGCAGGTTAACATGTCAGGAAAAAAAGCACCAAACTCCCCACTCAAATGCCACCCAAAGTGGACAAAGAGGACCAGACACAGGGATCTGGAAGGCCTCTGCCCAGATGACTACCTGCCCACCGCCCCCCCCCCCAACAATGCTGCAGTATCCTCCTTCTTTTACATTTGGGTGCTGTTTAAGAGAAACCTGTCCCCAGCTTCAGTCTTCATTTTCCTCTTCCCAGCACCCCAGCCTGCCTACACATCAGTCCTCAGGGGCTGTGGGCAGGCACATTTTGCCTCTCAGGGGCATAGCTGCAGCTGATAGCACAGCCTTCTCTTGGCTCTGCATTGGGGACTTAAGCCCTCGTTGTGGCTGTCCCTCCAGAACCTGGACAGAGTGAGGGATGCAGGGCTGGGGTGGCGCTGACCTACAGAGTTGATGGGACTGATACTACCCAGGGAAAGATGCCAGCGTGAGAGAAGAGAGTTGGGCTATGCCGTGAGGAGACAACGAAGCCAAGACTCAGTAAAGAGGAGGTCGTGCCCACACCAGTGGCTTCAGAGGGAGGATATAATAGGAAAACAGATGTTGCACCAGGTAGGCCAGTCACATTCTTGAGGAGAGCGTTTAATAGAGGTGTGGGGGCCTGAGTCAGGTTTCTCCCCACTCTGAGATGATTGGGGGTTGAGGAAGCAAAGGGAAGAGTTCCCTGCTAGGGTCTTCTTTTGGAGGCTCTGGTGCTCCTCAAAAAGCAGCTGAGGTAGGAGGGTGGGCTGCTCCGTGTCAGCTCACCCGCACTTTGGCCTGTCTTTGTGCTTCGGCTTCCACCGCCAGCGAGTGCTGAAGCCCGGCTGGCAGCCTCACATCCTTACTGGAAAAGAAAGAAGGTGTGGCAGGTGAGTGCTGGGCACTGCTCCCAATCGCTGAGTCACACACACAGGGCGGGGAGGCCAATGCCCACAGAAAATGAAACAGCCAACCATACCCAGCCAACCATACCCCTTGAAAAACTTGCCAGTTTGAAGATTTTTTTCTTGCTGTTATTTTTCTGACATGACGATTGCTATTTTGTTTTAGATAATGCCTCCAGATTTTATTTTTTCTTTTAGTTTGTTTTTGGCTTGGACGGATAGACTATTTTCCACAAATGGAGGACTTTTGCACACCAAACATCCATGGACAATGACTGATTCTGGTTTCTCTTATATACACTGGAGCCCTGGAAAACACTGTCTCCTAAGGCTGCACTCTGGGACCTACACCACCATAGATATGGTGGGGGGGAATGGTGGCATCCAGGGAAGGAAGAAGTTCCAGGCTCCCAGTCCCACCCTAAGAAAGGGTGCAGCTGGACAGGGAGGAGGAGACTGAAGGAGAAGACTGGGTGAAGGTAGGGAGCATGGAGGAGACCTGAAGGAGGCACGTGGAGCAGAGAGACATGTGAAGAAGCTGCACTTCTCAGCCTTGGACCTGGGAAGGTGGAAGGACACACGTGAAACAGATGTGGGTGAGAGGCCCCCGGGGAGGTTAACAATGGCAGCTTGATTTTGATTTTGTTTCTACTTTTATCCTTCCAGATGTGGTGGCCCCTTCTATCCCTTCCCTATGGTTCCCACCCAGAGGTGCCTTAGGCTTGTGACAGGCTTTCAGGACTCAGTGGCCCTGCTTTGGGCCAACCCTGTTTGGCTGGGCATTTAACCCACAAAAGGGTTTTGTGTGAAAACTATTTTAATTATATTCTTTCTCTTCTCTATTGTGCATTAACTGTATTAAAGTTATTTTCTGTTGATGGTCTTACTAGAGTATGTTTTTTCTTGATGTGGTAGATGACCTTTAGAACAGGCAGGTTTAGGGGTCCTGGGGTTTTCTCAGCCTGCCCTAGAATAGTAGTAATGCTGGTTATACCACTCTGAATATACTAAAAACTATTGATTTGTACTTGAAGATAATTAAAATGATGGGTTTTATGTTACATGAATTTTATCTCAAAAAGAAATTTTTTAGCATATGGAGCGAAAGCTTCAAAGGAATTTGCCCATATGTTACAGTGGTTTGGTTTTGGCGAGGAGACATATTGTTAATTTTTCCTCTTTCCCTCCCAAATTTATGCTAATGTTACCATAGTATCCATTGAAAGAAAATAATTTTTCAAATATAAAATTTTAAATGAAACCAAATAACTGCCTTTACTATAGTGTACTACCCAGTTAATTTCCTACCCACATTTCTGTTCTCTCCACTTTGATTCCCCAAATACAGGTCACTGAATCCAAGGCGACCTGTGGAGAAAACGTTAAGATGTCAGTGAGAACCTCCCTCATACCTTAAAAGTCTATTTCTGAAAGAACATTTTTGCCCTGTTTTGTTAACTTTACAGTGTTTACCTGCAAAGCATTCTTGTAGTATAAGCTTGACAATCGACTTCTTTTTTGTAACAGGGTAATAATCTGAATGAAGCTTTGCAGGCAGAGTCATTCCCATCAAAGAGGCGCCCTCCACAGGGAAGCCAGGGCAGGCCACAGGAGCTAGGCTGCCAGCCCCCAACAAGTCTCCTTTGTTTTATAGGTCCTGGCTGATTTAGATCACTGGTCACTGGAACTGACATACTATTTTTCTTTTTCCATTCTATTATTTCTCTCCCCACACTTTACATATCTGCTCTTGTAATTTAGATTCACAAGGGGATTTGTAAGTCCACAAAGCCCTAGAGGGCACACTATCTCCCTCTAAGTGGTATGTGGCCAGAGTGTTCTAATTTCCAGCTCTTTTGAGCAATAGACCTTTTTTTCCCCCTGATAGTTACTGCCGAAGGGGCATTTCACATCATGATAAGAAACCTGGAGCCCATCCAGAACAGGCAGATTGACTGAAGTACACTGCTGAGGAGAGTAGTGGGAGAGAAAGGAGAGGTCTGCAGCACCAGGTAGGTTAGCTTCCTGGCCAGGTATTGAACTCCTGCTGCAGTTGCTGGCATAGATTAATAATTTTGAGACTTAAATCCAGAAAGTGAAATTGTTAGGTCAAATGGTAACTATATTTTTAATTTTTGAGCAACCAACCCCAAAACTTTTTTTAGCAGCAGGTGCATCATTTTACATTCCCACTATCTATGTACAAGACTTCTAATTTTTTATGTTTGCTCTACACTTTTTTTCTTTTTTTATTCTTTATAGTAGCCATCTACTAGATTTGATGCAGTATCTCATTGGTTTTGATGTGTATTTCTCTGATGCACTCACTAATCTAATTTGTGAGGTTGAGGGTCTGTTCATGTGTTTGGTGGCCATTTGCATATCTTTGGAGAAATGACTATTCAAGTCTGTATGAGTCAGGGCTCTTCAGAGACACAGAATCAAAACCCCTTGTGCCACCAAGAAGGCCCTTATCTCTCTTCTTCTGGCAATTTGTGGTAAGAATCAAAGCCAACCCTACCTAATGCCTGAGGTTGCTGAGCTTGGTGCCTCTGTGCTCGATGAAGCAGCTCTTCTCTTTCCCCTAATTCCAAATCAATTTTAGAGAACTGATTGAGAAATTAATCAGAGGATCTGTGGTATCTGACCTCTTTTTATTTGAAAGTCTTATTTGCATGCCTCGTCATTTGACATTGCTTGTTTTGCCAACCAGACTGGAAGCTCCAAGAAGTTTTCCTTACCACCTTTATATACCACCAACCCCCCCTGTCTATCTCTACCACCTCTGCCAACTTGCACTCCCATCACTTTCTGATATGGGGGCACTTTACAATAAGTCTAAAGCCACTGGAACAGAGGTGAGAGCAAAAACTGGCCATCAATGACTGACCACAGCAGACTGGGAGCATGACTGGCTGCCGTGACCTCCTCCTCAGCGTTCCCATCACAGCAGGCAACATTCAATAAATGACCACTGGAGAAATGAAAAAAAGATATTTCAACATATTCAATGTTAAATTTGTAAGTACCTTTACATCTTGGGCAATGCTCTTTCTCTCTAGAAGAATTTCAGTGAGGGATCGATGTGCCAGGAGACGCTTCATGGTGGTCTGCACGAGGAATTGGACAGCTTTGGACACATGAGCCAGACTACTTAGGAGGAGAGAGGCGTTTTCCATCCGGTAGTAGCAGATGGCATCTATCTCCATTATAAACATGTCTTTGGTCACAACCTAGGCAGAGAAAAGTTTGGAGAAACTCCTGGGCTTTTTTTCTCATGTGGGGATAGAGGAGCTAAATGTGTTGAAAGGGCATTTTCTCAGAGTAAGATTGTAGCAAGAAAAACAGAGTAGTGATTCCACACTTATTCAAAATAGACATGTTTTTGAAAAGTATGTTGTTTCATTGAACACATTAAAGAACTCAGAATTTTAAGAAATCCCGTTACCAAAAAATTCAGTAAAAATTTTCTTGTATGAAAACATTCAATTGATTGAATGTCAAATTTTCTTAAAGCAATGCTCAAAAAAATCTGCTAAAAGAGATGCACGTTCTGGGAAGCATGGGGATTAAGAGTGTACACTAGAGGGCAAATAAGTGTCGTTTTGAAAATCCTAAGAGACACACATGCTCAACATTTCCATTTTTTAGCAATTATTAAGGATGTAGCTGATACAACTACTTATAATATATAAAACCTGGAAACAACCCAGATGCCCCCAAATAGATGACTGGACCAAGAAGATGTGGTATATAGACACAGTGGAATACTATTTGGCCATCAAAAAGATCGGAACAGGGGACTATGGTGATGGTGCATCGGTAAATTGGTGGTGGAAATTCTATGGGGACTGCACCTGAAAAAAGAAAGCAAACATTGTTTAAAAATGAACAGTGATAAAAAATACAAATAAATAAACAAAAAGAATGTATAACTGATAAAATGTTATTTACAGTATTTTTTGCCATAATTTTTTTCCAATTTTATTTATTGGAAATAATATTAACAATAGGTATTAGTTGAATAAAATATCAATAAAATGAAATCCTATAACCTCATTTAAATAAAAAAGGTAGAAGCAGAGCTAGGATGATCAGACTAGATTGTTGAGTAGAAGAAGACATGTCAAAATATACATATAGGTAAATATATATCTACATATGTAAGATATGAAAAGTCTGCAAAGATATACTCAAAGTATCAACACAGTCTTCAGTACCCAATCTCATCAAAATATCAACATTTGTCTAGAATAGGATTATTTTATTTCTTTTTGCACTTTATTATCTAGAAATAAACTTATTTCTCATATGTAATTTCCATTATCAAAAAAGAAAAGAGAAAACCTCAAATTGAAAGTGAGGAAGACAATTTAGGCAAGCTTAAAAATCGAAATCACTGCTAGAAAAACCTATGTTATCTCTTTTTTTCCTTTTTAATTGTGGTAAAATATATTTAACATCTAATTTACCATCTTCATCATTTTTAAGCACATAGTTAAAGTAGTCATAAGTCCATTAACATCAATAAGTAAGCATTTTCTAGATTTGAAACTCATTAAAGAACTCCTCATTCCCTCTTCTGAGTCCCTGCAACTACCACTTTGTCTCTGAATTTGACTTGTCTAGATACCTCATAGAATCATACAGTCCTTTTGTGATTGGCTTACTTCATTTAGTCTAATGTTTTCGAGGTTCATTCATGTTGTATGTTCATGTATGTATGTATGTATATTGTATGTCAGGATTTCCTTCCTTTTTTTAAATGGAATCCTACTCCATTATAGCTATATTCTATATTATGTTTATCTGTCCAAATATTAATGTATGTTTGGGTTGCTTCTACCTTTTGGCTATGTGAATAATGCTGCTATGAACATATATCTACAAACTTCTTCAAAATCTTCTTTTTAATTCTTTGGAGTAATACCCAGAAATGAAATTGTTGGATCAAATGGTAACTATAATTTTAATGTTTTGAGCAACCCCCACGCATTTTTTTTTTACAGCAGGTGCACCATTTTACATTCCCACGCAATGTACAAGT